AAACTCCAATGAAGAGAGGCCTCAATGAATTTCAGAGCTCTTTAAGCCGGTGCTATTCCCCGCAGTCCTCAACACGAAACCGTGCCAAGTCCATATGGGAAATTGATATGCAGTATGTGTGGCTTATTCCATTAGACTCATTAAAGTGTCACTTTGTCATCAGCACACTCTCGCACTTACAGCTTGCCTTACAACTGCAGCAAAGGACTCATTGTGTCGTATGTATAAAGTACAGCAGAGAACATTTTTTTACGTGGCAGGCGTAATTTGTCTTCCAGGCAGCCGTCGAAAGACATCAACACAGAGAGTATTGAAAAGGAGGTACAGAAAGCTTTTTTTAATTTGTGGTTGGACATACGCAGCACAGGTCAATCGATGGAACGGACAAATAGAGTTTTTAGCCCGTTAATGTACCCGGCGCAGTCCTGCAGCAGCCCAGACTCTCCCTCTGGTAAAACCATTGAGGTGCCACACTGTCATCCGCACATCGCCTTCTCAGCTGCAGCACTAAAACCTGAACCAATGTTTTTTGTTCCCTTTTCTTAATCCAGCGCTGCATTTCCCTGAACCCTGCAGAGGTTTTTTTTTTTTTTCTCTCTCTCTCTCTCTCTCCAACAGGCTGACCTCCTGTGCAGACACTAAATTGCAGGAAAAAGGTTTTTCACGCTTGGCTACAGTTTGTAGTGGCAGAAACTTTATCAAACGTCTCCAGCGAGGATCTGAGCGAACCCGGGCTTAGCCTTTGATTAAACGCTGCCTCTCCAAGGAACTCTGACCACTAAAAAACAAGCGCGCTCCGCAGAGCCCCGATTTGTGGAAATAAGAGCGTCCTTTTGCCAGTATTACGCAAATGCAGGAAATTTACACTTCTTACCACTCGCAGAAAGGCTTTTGCCTCACTTGGCAGAGAGTGCATCTGCAAAGAAGGAAAACTCTGGCTCTGCTTTCAAAATTCCTCTGTCAACCAGGCATCGACGACGTATTATCAGGACAATCCAGCCAACAAATCAATCGCACAACATTAGGAAACTTTCTTCTGGATCCCTTAATTTGTGAATTTGGTAGTAATGAATGAGGGAGTCCCACATGGGAAACAACACCCACATTAAAAGAGTGATGAAAAAAAAAAAAAACTACACGTCAGGAAAATCAATCTCTGAAAGTAATCATATGATATCTTGAGACTTTTTTAAAATATCATTTAGAGCAAATTGCCCCGCTGGCTGTACATCAGTTAAACAATTAGCACACAATATTCTCCAAACTGTTTGCCCCGTGGCAACACCGCTGCACACTGAGCCTTGGCAAACACATGTGCTTAATAAGGAGCGGGAAGTAGGTAATTGCCAGTGCACGACGTAGTTTACACACCAATATTTTAAATCTGTGACATAAAACAGAGTCTGAAGCTTGTGATTTATGGCCACGTGCTGATTACATTAACGTCTATGATTTTCTTTGCTCAAAATGGAGTCTTAAGTGTTTAAAAAAAAAAAAAAAGGTTTTAAAAAAATCAACACTCTCCTCTCAGAAAAAGGCCATACATCTGTTTCACACTTACAATTCCTGCCACATTCTTCTGCCAAAAGCTTTTAGGGATGCACAGAACTTGATGCCGGAGTTAGCGTAGTGTGAAGTGTGCAGAGATTTAAACACGGCGGAGTCATCGATCTGAAAGAGATGGGCCACTCAGACCATGACGGAGCTGGCCTGCATTTAACAGAGCATCTGAATAAAATGTTGGTAATCTGAATATAGCTACACGTAAAAAAAAAAATTAAAAAAAGGAGAAACTGTGGCGGCACTGCGAGCAAACTTAAAAAAACACCAGAACGAGTGGCTGTTCCGCGAAAATTTAACAGGAGCGTATAAAGGAAGTGCAACTACACATTTTGACATCTTTTACTTCGTATAAACTGCTCCTTAAATATGAGTCTAAGAAAACAGCAGAAGACATAGACCAGTCCCTGAAAGACATCCCCAGTAGCAGAGAGCAGGACAAGCTGCTGCACACTCAGCCTGCAAGCTTTTTTTCCAGGGGTGAAGTGCCTTTATTGTCAACAGTGCGTCCTGCTGAAAACCCTACCGAGGCAGTTCCACCCAACATGATTTATAGCCTTCCTGAGTGTTATTAAAATCTAAATGCAACTCTAGACAGATTTCCCAGAGTTGCTGCCCCGCACAGGACCTTTTATGTCCAGAGGTGAATGTCCCACGTTCAGAAACATTTGCACAGTTTATATAGATGGAAAACATTGTCGTCATTTTATTTTTATGCATGTGTCACAGATTATTACTCCGCTAAAGGACCGAGGGGCTGATGGATGGAGCGACCGGTTTGAAAACAGACTTTGTGACGTTTAAATTAAAAGGCACGACTTTTGAGCAGATTTTTCTTTAATGCCGCAAAAAAAGCACTGGGTTCAACATCAGGTTAACCGATCATCAATAAATCCAGTTGGTACAGCAACATTCATGCTTGGAATAAAATACGAGGCCGTGCCAAACTACATGAGGGTCTTTTTGTTGTTTTTTTTCCCCCCCCGAATTACAAGCAAATGCTTGAAAAGGCCTCCCGAGGAGACAGTTGAGAAGTGATGCAATGCTTAGATGAAAAACATCTCACAATCTGTTCCACACAATTCCGTCCTTGCTTTGATTAGCACCTAGAAGGCTGATAGTGACGCCTAAACTGGCAAAAGAGAGGGAAGAATCTAAAGGCTAGAGAAAAAAAAAAAAAAACTGTACAGCAATCTTCTGAACACAAAAAAAAAAAAAAAAAAACTGTACAGCAATCTTCTGAACACAAATCATCATCCAGTGTCCTGTCACGACCAGATCACTTACATTAATCAGATTTACGGAAGCGTGTAAATGTAGAAAAAACACTTTATTAGCTTTAAAACGTTATTTGGGAGCACATGCAGTTCACTAGAATACATAAACCATTCATGTTTCCCTTGCTAATTTACGCATCGTTTGTCATGTCGGCCATGTAAACAACATTCCCTCCGTGGCCGTGGCCAGGGGAAACCCTGATTGTTCCTGGAAATGCTGGCATTTGCACTCCAGGGGCAGAGCAGCGACCTCTGACCTGTGACTGGAAGCTCGCAGACTGACCAGCAAACCAGACAGCAGCAAATAAAGACGGACAAGCCTGCCTTTTTTTTTTTTTTTTTTTTTAGCTCCGTCTTTGTCACGTTTGCTCAGTCACTTCAGTAACGTTACAGCCGCTGATCACAGGCTTCCACGCCGTTCGCTTCACTTTTGATTACAGTCGAACCACTGTTGCTCCTCTCTGACTGCGACAGCGAGCCAGAGGAGAGACAAGACTCCCAGTGTTATCATCTACAAACATTATCCTGGAACTGCAACATAGGCAGTCAATACGCGGTCAGGCTTGTGGACACAATGACTGAGGGGAGGGGGGGGAGGCATCTTAATGGGGTGTCATTTTCTTGTCCATAATGATTCATTTAACAGTAAAGCTCTATATAGAGAAACTCCATATCAAAATCATTACACACAGCAGCTGCAAATCATCTCTGGGAGACAGAGATTGAAGCAATTCATTCAGCAGTTTTATAGTTTCCACCAGTGGGAGGAAGTGCAAAGCGAATCAGTTTTGCTTCATGAATAACAGCATTAGAAATTTCATTTGCAGGGTAGATTTTTGCTTCTGAAATGTACGACTAACATGGAAAAAGACGCAGACATTTCCACTTGTCTATTTCTAGATATGAAGCGGCCGCATAAGCAGCGGCTTGGCTCTCCTCCACTCCCATATTCAACCATTAAACTCAACATTTGAAGAAGTCATAGCCAACCCATCCAGTTAAGTAATGTGGATTAACATTCCTCGCTGTCTCAGAGCAAGAAAGAGAGGCCCGAAGACACAGAGAAGAGAGAGAAAGAGGTGTGTGTGGGGGGGAAAGAAGGGCCTTTACGCTCATATGCAGTACACCTCTGCTGTAAATAACAGCCAAAAGCATTTAAGGAGGACAGAGATAATCCAAACAGACCCTGAAAAAACTTCCGGAGATAATTCATCACCACCCATCTGGGCAGGGGGGAGGATTGTTTTATAGTTTCTGTACACTCACGAAAAAATGAAAACGCCTTCCACGAGCTGCTTCATAAACAAATCAGATAGAATTCAAACTGTCCTCAATCACACTTGAATTAGTCAACCAAAGAGCGGTTACACACACCATCAGGCCAGCTTCTCTTCAAGATGTAAATACCACACACACAGTTAAAGGAGTAGGATTGTAGAATGAGCAAAAAAAAAGAGAGAGAACTAAACTGATGAAATGTTTGTTTTCTAGAAATGCAATTAAGTGTAGTTTCCTAGAGGTCACATCCATTCATTCTCCTCCTCTGGTCTTAAGCAGACACCACCCTGCTGCTATCAATCAGATGTTAAATGCAGTTTTAAATAAACCTTTACAGGCTGCGTCCCTTATCTTTAAATGGATCTACATTTTTTTGAGGGGGGTCTCTGGGGGGCACAATGGATATCCAGCTGATCAGTTAAGAGCCTCCCTATTGTCTGCAGACGGAGTCAAGTATTTCCCCGTGCCGAGGCTTCACAATGACAATGGGACGATAATCTAAAAACCAAAGATCATTTGCATGAGAGGAGACGCTGAATGGAAGGCTGTGCGTCCTGGATGGAACAACAGTTTGAGGATATTTAGCCGTGAGATGATGTCAGGAGCAAAAACGAATAAAACACACTGCTACCCGGTTGAAACATGAGGATGGAAAACTGTTTTTAAAAAGAGGGGCGAACAAAGCTGCTGCGCACATGCTGCAAAAGTCCACACTGATTTTTCGTCAAGGCTGAAACATTAGTTGAATTCACGCATATGAAGATGAACCGCAAGAGAAGTGGAGCCAACAGAGAAGAGAGAGAGAGAGAGAGAGAGAGAGAGAGAGAGAAAGAGGAGAACCACGGGAATGGTTTCGGTCAGGAAGGAAAAGATTTGGAGACTCACCAGACGCGCTCAGGTCCAGGACGCTTTGGAGCAGCAGGGCGACCCAGAGAGCGCAGGCTGGACATCTCCAGAGACGCCGCTGGCTCGCCGCTGCCCGAGTTGGATACATTCCTCCGGCTCTGTGTTAAGGAACCTCTTCCCGCTGTTCACATCCACTACACACTAGATTTAATCTTGAGCCCCTCAAAAAAATTTAAAAAAAAATGCACGTCTCAAAATGTTTGATAAATTGCGCGCCGTTCTCCGCCGCTCTCTCACGACGCACCAAAAAACTCTCCCGGTTAAAAAATAAATAAAAAATACTTGAAGAAAGCGTCTCCGTCTCTCCTTGCCTTCTGCGTCTTTCCTCCTCGCTTGAGCCCAGCTCACTTTGGCCCCTCTCTGTCTCTCTCTCTCCAACTGAGCGCAATCCTTCCAACAAACTTTGGTGGAGGCTTGTGCCCACAGGAGCCACATGGCTCTGATTAACCGAGTGTCGCCACCGTGTGTTCGCTGCAGGAACCACCGAGGAGCAGGAGGAGGAACCTCAGTCAGTGGTCAGGCCTCTCACTCTGGTTTTGCAATTTGTGATTTAAATTTGGGGTAATTATCCATCCATTTTCTATACACCGCTTAATCCTCATTAGGGTTGCGGGGGGCTGGAGCCTATCCCAGCCGACTTAGGGCGAAGGCAGGGGACACCCTGGACAGGTCGCCAGTCCATCGCAGGGCCACACTTAGAGACAGACAACCAAACACACTCACATTCACACCTACGGACAATTTAGAATCACCAATTAACCTCAACATGTTTTTGGACTTTGGGGAGGAAGCCGGAGAACCCGGAGAGAACCCACGCTGCACGGGGAGAACATGCAAACTCCACGCAGAAAGAGTCCGGTGCCCCCACCGGGACACGAACCGGCAACCTTCTTGCTGCGAGGCAACAGTGCTACCAACTGCGCCACCTTGCAGCTTGGGGTAATTAGTTTTGCTAAATTTAAAGTGCGCAGGAGCCCCACCTTGTGACCTTTTGGGGGCCATAATTTAGTTTGTTTCTACATGATTCTTGCCATGAGATGGAGTCAACTGCTGGTTTAAAGGTTAAAAATGAATTTACTTAATTATTCTTTCAGTCACATTTCCGTTTAATCTACTAAACAATAGACCTACTTTCAGGGCAAACACATGACTCATCACAGTAGGTGTATTCCACTTAGGGACAGGCCCTGCACTAGTTCATGCTGGTTCCAGTGGGAGCGACATCATTTTTATAGGAATGACCAGACTAAGTGGCACAATTTCTCAGTTTTTTGTTTTTCAGCGAGCCATTTTAGATTAAATAGCCTTTTTTTTTGGTCGCTTACTCTTACCATTTATTTTAAGACCTCCATGTACATGTCAGCTCATAGCAACAGCAAAATAAGCTCTTTTATGTAACCATCAGTTGATTGGAAATCTGCAACAGCTGTTTAAGTTATATTTTTTCATTGCTAAGAAAGCTCAAAAGATAGTTACAATTCATTAAAATATGATATAAAGCTCTTACGGTAAAAGTGTCCTTGTTCCTCTCAGGACACCTTGTTGGACACCAGACTATATCCACCTGTTTGTTTGGCATTTTCTTACTTTTGGCTGCAGGTTGTGAGTCAGTCATACATTGTTGAGCAGTATATACAGTGCTTAATAAATAGATTAGACCACCTGTCTAATTTGTTAAACACTCTATATATATAGAGAGAGAGCATCCAGCATCATGAAGTGCTTTAATTCGCACTCAGCTCTCGACGTTTTGTCATTTTTAACAGGAATGAGGAATTTCAAACTGAATTCACCTTTTTATACCCAAATCTGAGACACTGGGCTTCTCTGAGGAGTCAGAAATTAATCAAGCATAACATTCAACCACTAAAACTAATTTTTCCATTCAGAATTGCAAGGAAATAACTATAATTTGATTTCTTAATCAAGAAATAATAATGTTTAACTTTTTGTTTGTAAAACAGTAAGGTTGAAAATTCATGGATAACAACAATAATTATATTTTAGCATTAAAATGATCGTTTTGGTTAAAGAGCTTCTACATACTGGTGTATTAACCATTACAGAAACATTTTTTTAAAAATGATTTTGGAAATTACCACTGCTGTTAATTTAGGGCAGCTGTGGAATAAACCTGACATTGGGTGGTGGTCTAATAAATTTGTTTCCAGAACTCTTCAAAGTAGGTTTCATTGTCTATACATCTTTTATAAAATGTTTTTAAATGAGGGATGGATGAATGATTTGCCACAAATTCAGTGTAAACAGCCTGGTTGGTTAAAACTACTTGGGTGTATGTTGTTGAATGGGGAGTGCTTGTGTTGTTAAAATGCATCCATGGGAACACAGAGTGATGGTTCTGCAAAAAAGTTCTGCAAGAAAAATGGTAGTCACTGCATGTAACTCCAGTTCTATTATTACATGTGTAGTCCTCCAGCAGGCTTCATTATTGGGTTGTGCTGGATGACCAGACTTCAGCCTGTGGTGGCGGTGGCCTCTCCTTGGCTCCGCCCCCGGCCTGCTCACTGTCATGGCCTGGTGGAACACTTACAGGACCTGAGCCATCATTAATTTCATCTGTGCTTCCTGCCCTCATTAGTCAAAATGTCTGCTGTCATTAAGGCCTGTGCATAACAACTGTGAACTAACTTAGAATTAAAATTACTCAAAGACAAGAATCACTGTGGTAATAAGTGCATACGTAGAAACAAGTTTTGAAAAACACCATCAGTCTAATTCTGTCAGAGGTCAACATACCAACACATCCATCCATCCATTATATAAACACCGCTTAATCCTCACTCGGGTCACAGGGGGATGGAGTCTATCCCAGCCAACTTAGGGCGAAGGCAGGGGACACCCTGGACAGGTCGCCAGTCTATCGCAGGGCTACACTTAGAGACAGACAACCAAGCACACTCACATTCACACCTA